CTGCTCGCTCATTGTGCTGACTTCCCTGAGAAAAATTCTAAATAAACAAGTTATGTGTCATGAACACATTGACATCCGACAGCATTATTTCATCTTTTCTTTACACCGTATATAAATATTATGTAAAATTTAATGTATACCTATAGATTATATTATTAACTATTATATATACAAATAAAGGGAAAGTGTGTAATGGCTATGAAAGTAACTCATAAACCGACGGCCTTCAATAATTAATTCTGACTTCACTTGGCATTTAGCAAGTAAACAGACCGGCTGAGATCGGTTTATGTATTTCAAGTTGTTAAATTACCTACTGAGTTAGGTACAAATTTCAACATTTTTGTCATTGATCTATATTGCTTAGGCCATAGTTCGCCACGCTGGCCCGATGCGGGTTAGTGGCTTCACACGTATACCGAGTGTTGTGAACCTTCTTCGACGTGCAGGGTTCCCGAGCCCAGATTCGAATACGAATATTTACCTTTTATAAAATTTTTCAACAAAATAGTAAGAGACGCAATGAAGAGGAACAAATGCGGGTTATGTTAATAATAGCATGCATAGTGATATATGTATAAAGTAAGAAAATTGCAAATCTTAAAAATATGATAGTCATTTGCATAATGTATAAATATAATTAGAAACATAAGCTGTCTAGTACAGCTAAAATAAGGAAATAAAATGATGATAAAATATAAAGGAAAACTAAAAAGAAAAAGAATAGAAATAATACATAATACATTACAGATAAATAGATTATATAAAAAAGAAAGGCTAAAAAAACAAAAAAGAAGTGTGTACATCATTACCGTAATAATCAACCACCAATAAGTATTTCTCCCTCAGGTACTGACTGAGTATACCAATGTATACGACAGACCCCTATTACTATAACAAGCTAAGAAATACATGTGTATTAGAGTATTTAGTAAGCTTTGCACCGTCATACATGAGTATGTTAGAGATCCACTGGCAATGCATACAAAAAAAAGAAAAAATACGAATATTTTATATTAATATACTCCCCTACAATCATTATCAGCAAACGGAATAGACAAAGTATAACACGTATCCAAAAAATAACACATATGAGTTGGTAGTAGGTTCATCGGAAATTTAAAAAATTCTAGAGCTCCTTCTGAAAGAGTTCGTCCAGGGAAGTACGTAGTATTCTAGAAAATACTTCCTTAAAAAAATTTTCTACGTGTTTTACAAATGTGTATACACAATATACATATATACATGACATGGATATTCAGTAAAGTTTCATAAACTAAAAGATAAATAACATAGTGACATAAATATCGAAGTGACCTTTTTAAGAAATTGTGGTAAATCTTATATAGTTATATTTGTTTGTATTAATTTATTTTAATGTTTGTTACTTTTTCTTTTTTTTAATGAAGCGGGGATGTTTCAATTGCAACCGATTTTATTATTAATACAATATTTAGCAGAAGTAGAGCTCTCTGTAAAATAAAATATACATAGTTCTCTGTGAAGAATATATGTATATTCCGTAAACTATGTAGTTTACGGAAGCATTATAGCTATACGCATGTATTTCTGATACCAAGCAATAATATGAGCATTATTGCACGGTTTTGAAGGGTAAAGGTGCTGGTGAAAGTACTCGCAATGCCTCACAGATCATTGTGATCTAAAGCTTTAAGTGGCATTGCATCTATTATAGATAGGCGTGTCGCTTACCACCAGGCCCATGAGTTGTTCGTCCTGTCAACGGGACGAACAAGCCGTGGACCCGGTAGTAAGCGACACACGTACCTATATTTGCTAGGTACTAAATTAGTCTGTATAACTTTTTTATACTTGAATAGAAGAGTTATAAAATGTGACATAATATACATAATTAGTTTCATGTACATAGTTCGTATTATTTTTATGAATTTGACATATGTGAAATAGGCACTTTTGACGCATGAAGAAATAAATTTTTCCTAAGAAAACACCTATGACGTTATGACAATAGGCAGGGTAGATGTACTCCTTGACTTGTATTTGTCCGTGAGTAGAGCGATACCTAAAATCTAAAATTAGATTCTTTGTGTTTGTATTATAACTGATTTGTATGCCACATTCGGTTATAACATTTTCCGTCCAGTGGTCACGATCGGCGTCGATCAAGTCACCTTGTGCTTATTAAGAATATTGATGGAGTGAAACAAAGTCTATTAAACTTTGTTTAGCGAGCATTGTTTTGTAATGAACTCAAAATTGGCGTTAGAAATTTAGACACGAATTACACACTGTCTACCTCGGAGACCCAAGTGTTTCCACTGTGGGTGCTGGGTGAAGTTGGGACCAATTTGGGAAATGCACTTCGTTAAAGTGGGCTAAGCCGTGGTGCGTAATGGTTTGACCTGTCGCCTCTCGCGGTCGTGGGTTCGAATGTTGGCTCCCACATTTGAGGTTCCCGGAATTTATGTGCGAAATTGAATTTGAAATTTACCAAGAGCTTTTCGGTGAAGGAAAACAACGTGATGAAACCTGCATGTCGAAGAAGGTTCACAACTCTCGGAAAACGTGTGAAGTCTCCAACCCGCATTGACTATGACAGCCTACCAGTTTAAATCCCAATAACGCTGCAATTAATTTTAATTAAAATTATTTTATTGAAAGACGAAACAAAATACACTTGAAATTGTTTTATGTTTTTGCTTGAATTAAGATTCCTCTGAGAAAATCGAGCAAGAAGTTACAAAAACGGCCATGGTTTTAACCGACTTCAGAAAAAGAGGAGGTTTTCAATTAGACTGTTTTTTTTATGTATATTACGCGATAACTCCAGCATTTGTGAACTGATTTTCATGATTCTTTTTTTGTTGGAAAGAGGGTATCTTAGTAGTGGTCCCATTTAAATTTGAAGAAAATATTCTAGCTCTAAGGGTGGCAAACTGGGGGATGAATGACTTTTGAGGTAGGTTTTTTTAGTACTCTGCACTGATTATTTTGTACGATTTTGATGATTCTTTTTTTGTTGGAAAGAGGGTACCTCAATAGTGGTCTCATTTAAATTTCAAGAAAATATTCCAGCTCTAAGGGTGGCAAACTGGGGGATGAATGACTTTTGAGGTCGTTTTTTTTGTATTCTGTACTGATTATTTTTATTATTTACTGATTATTAACATCCAATGACCAACATATGTTTATAAACATTAGTAGTTTGATGTTACAATGTTTGAAAAAAAAAGAACAAAAGCATTTGGCCGTTTTTGTAGCTTGCTGTTGTTAACACGCCTTAGCGTTTAGCAACTAACATCTTTTTAGCAAGCCTATATCGAGAAGAGAGCTAAAATATAGTAATAATACATATTTTCTTCTTCTCTGCAGGCATACCCCGATTGGTCATGGCACACGGCAGGTCGTGGAGACATCAACTGTACCGGACTTATCTCTGTGTACCGTATCCGAGCTGATAGGTGCAACCGCCTCTGGGTCCTCGATTCTGGAGTCATCACCAGTCTTGACGATTTCCGCCGTGTATGTCCACCTAAGATTCTTATTTTCGACATGGCTACCGATCGTTTGGTAAGTACAACACTACAGAGTTTAAACCATAAACCGATAATAACATGATGCAATTGTTTTGTGAAGAAAAAAAAGACGTTTGACAAAAGACGGTTATATTTGACCTTTGTATTAATATATAAAAAAACACGCGTTATTTTTACGAATTAAATTCCGGAAATGCCATTACACGTGATTAAAAAAACATTTTGTTTCTGGAAATGGAAATCGCTATTTTGTTAAAATTTTGAGACAAATATACAGGCTGTTTTTGCTTTATATTTATGAAAACTTTTAATTTTTTTCTTTCTTGACTTATCACGGTCAGCGTTGGAAACTATTTAAAAAGTTTTTCTAGAATGAAAACTTTTTTGTATGTTATTAAGGTAAAACTTTTTATTTTCCCCGATATTTCAGAACGGTTACCTACATGGTCACAGGTTGAAATACTACATAAATTCGTTTAGTAAATAAACATGAAGTCTATTAAAATGTATAAATGTTAAGTTGTTTTTATTAAAGTTTGAAATTGTACAAACTTATTGGAAATAAAACTATTTTTTGGATCTACAAACCTATGTTTCGGGCTCTTTTTTTAGGTCACCAGCGAAAACTTAAAAATTCGGTATATTTATAAAGTGTTTTATTTTTTGTCAAAAATTAGAAGCATCTATTTTTAACAAAGTGAATATTGATTAAAATTAGGTTCTTAAAAACTAATTCATCAATTTTAAATTACATCCAATTGATTTGAAGTGGAAGGTGCAATCAATCGAAATGGTTAAGTGATTACCATTTTCCGCGGCAAGAGTTAGGCTGCTACTGAACGGACTGCAAACATGAATTCGACATGTACCTATGATCGCATGCAATCGACAATGATTTCAAGCATTTATGGCTGTGCGGCTATATTACGAGTTCATTGTACTTACCTTACTTATTTCTGCCGCCAAGCAGTACAGTAAGCATACTGCGTTCCGATTTTGAATTGTAAGAGTGCTGGTAAAATTACAGGCACATGGGTCTTGTCAACTTATGTCTAAGGCTGATGAGCACAGTGGCAGTGTCCCTTAGATCTTTGTGATTCAAAGTTATGAGTGGCATTGCAATTGCTATGGTCAGACGTGTCGTTTCCCATCACACGCACGACTTGTTTGTCCCGTCACTTCGTATACAAAAAAATGTTGCAGTCGAAATGGAAGACGTTATTTGCAGTTTGTCACTATGTATTCAGAACATTTTGGATTTCTAAGGCAGACTTTACTTTTTATTAAGGAAATAAACATATCACTAACGAAATTCTCACTTCATTTGTCGACAAGTTCACGTCCATAAGCCCCGACTATACTCCGCGGTGGGATTTGCGATCATAAATGTAAGCAAATATTTTATAAATCCGTCGAGACAAGTTCACCAAACAATCAACTTAAATTAACTAAAAAAAATAACTTAAATAAAAAAAAATTAAGTTGATTAAATCCTCGAGTAATCTTTTTGTTTTAAATTTATTACCAATCAATAGCATATGTACAAAACAAACAATTATTACAACATTTAAAAGCCACTAAGGTTTGAGTCAAACTGTATGTTGTCTACATCGACAATACATAAATCTTATTATAATAAGGTAATAAAGTATACTATATACATGCTATATGCTATACTTTACATATTATTATACTCTAAATACTACACTAATCGTTACCTTTTGCCGTTACTTCTAAGGATCAGGTTATAGATAATATCAGGCACAAAAAACATGTTAACTTGTACTTATTTTTATTATACTTTTAATCATTCACATCGACTGCAGCCAACGCTTACAATTGAAGTCACAACTGCACGCAGTTGAAGTCTCGTCTGCACGTAGTTGAAGTCTCGATTGCACGCATTAACTGCCGACGCGCAGTCTATCTGTTGGCAGCTTTAGCCGTTATTGTAGTGAGGTCAACTGGTTTTAATAGAAGTGAGTTTTCGCAGTTTCACTTCAATGTTATGTAGTTACGAACTGAAGTCTAAATTGCAAAATTGGTTGAAGACTGTCGACTACGCGGCTACAGAGGAACTATTTAAAATATGATTACTTACTTCATACACACACACACACACACACACACACACACACACACACACACACTCACACACACACACACTCACACACACACACACAGAGAGAGAGAGAGAGAGAGAGAGAGAGAGAGAGAGAGAGAGAGAGA